GAAGTTTTCACCATGTCTTCGTTGTGATCACCACCATGTGCAGAAGGGCAGACTAGTGCTGACAACAGATACACATTCTCTGGGGACATTTCGGGTACTCTTCTTGCCTGTGGGCGTTCAAACAGCCATGGATGGGGCCTGTCAACAACAAGTGTTCCCGTTCCCCTGCTCTTTAGCCCGAACAAACACCTGGAGTGGACAATATATTCGAGACTTTCATAAAAGGGGCGCAAAGATCCACAGTTGGTCAACACTGTTGAAGCATTGAGGTTCTGAGCAGGGAATGAGAAATGGAATGACCCCTATAAACCATCCGGTTCTTCTGGTTTCCTTTATTCGCGAATGCCCAACACGTGGACTCGTTGTCATTCCCTAGCTATCGCGCCGGTGGCAGGTTAAGCATGAAAAGAAGCACGGCATGGGCAGGCCTTTTGATATGGGAGGCTCGTTTTCTTTTTTTGTGGGGTCCCCCCTTTAAACAAAAAGACACTCCCATCTGGAATGGTGAGGTGCATAAAAGGATCTTAGGAGGTTCTTCAACTGGGGAGAAAAGGTAGAAGATTTGACGGCGATGCTGTCATGTTGTTTTGGCTGTGCCAAAGAAGGCCCGATGAGGCTCATCATTTGGTTAGTTTGCTTGCACCTGGGGCATCAACACTGTCATCTAATTTTCCGGAAGATCAATCACTGCCTGGTTGATAAACAGGGCTAGCCCAATCCTCTTGAATCCTGGACCGCAAAGGGTAGCACATTCTTTTGCACCCCTGACACCGGTGTCTCAATTTCAAACTTTCGGTACCTTTCCCATTTAGTGGGACATATAGGCATGTATTTAAACAAGGAACCCCCTGGAATCCTGGAAAGTGGTTGGTGGACATGCAACCCCACCTCAATGATGTCAATGAGAGGGTCCCTGATAAAAGATCATGCCCACATAATCTAGTTTTGTGGTTCCCCAATGGTCATCATCCCATGTTTCCCGGACCTTCTGATCGCTCAGGTGTCTCACTTCCAGACTGGCGCCGCATTCCCTGGATCCTCCAGCGCAGCCATCGCCCCGAACATGGTGGCAGTGTCGTCCTGCGACTCCCTTTTCGTCTTCAAAAGCTGAGGCGCGAGCAAGGCCTAAGGCGACCGCGCCCGAGACCAAGAGGCCACAGGACCACAGGACAGCGCACCGAGTTGCGCCTCTCGTACGTAGGGGGGCCTGGCGTTTTGTCCAAGGGCAAACAGCCCGTCGAATGGGGTTCTTTATTAAGCACAAAAGGACAAACAGCTCGAACCCATGGGTGGCCCCCTTGGCAAGATGCGAGGCCTGGCTCGGCACTCAGACAGAGTTGCGCTCCTGTGGTAAAGTGCGAAGTGCGAGGCTGCTGCTTGCGATATCGTGGAGCTTGCCCAATGGCCAACTAGCTTTTCTGCTGGAACACATTCCCAAAATTGTCCCAAGTGCTCTAGATTTGAGGGGAGATATCTGAACCACTTCCATACTTTTCCCATCCAGAAAGTCCGATTTGTTGTGTTTATAGGAGAACCCAGGTCTGCACTGTTCAATCTGAGCCTTTTCAATGCCTATGTTCCGTTCAGGTTTTAATTTCTCTCTTGTCACTGTACCTTGGGCATGCTGATTTGGCATCCTCGCAGCCTCACTCCGTGCCACTCGCCAGGAGCTGGTGTGGGGCCACCCAGTGACTGGTTGCATCGGCAAACTTTCGTGAACCGGGAAGTCAAAACACGCCGGAGCCGTTGTTATCGCGGTTATCATCGTCGTGGGTATCATCAGCGTCTGCTTGCGCCGCTTGCAATGCAAGGGATGCTATGATGAAAGTTATCATCATCATCATCATCATCATCATCATCATCATCATCATCATCATCATCATCATCATCATCATCATCATCATCATCATCATCATCATCATCATCACTATCCGTTTCTTTCTTATCTTTCGAATGTCACGTTAGCCCTGACTTGCAATGCAAGGCCCCCAATTTTGGTCAGCCCAACAACAGGTTGGGGAGCCTGTGGTCCGGCCAACCAAGACGTCGGTGGAACAAACTTCCAGTTTTTTTTGGGACTCCATGGTAGGTGGGGTGGGTTTGAGCGCGTAAATAAGTAGGCCCAACCCTGCTGAGAGCTCTTTTGAAAGAAAGTTATCAGCCCACCGAGGACCCTTGCTCTTAGCCTCTTCCCAACAATCGTGGAAGTGGACTAGCATGGACAGTTTTGGAAGACCACCATGCTTTTGGAATGGCAAGCCCTGGTCCACTTGCATGGCTGGTGAAAGAGGGCTAAAAGGAAGAGCAGCTGTCAGGGCATGAAAACAACGTGCGGGCCGGGTTCGAAACTTTGGCATTGTCTCGGAGACCGTGTCGTTTTCCCACCTTTTTCCTTTCTGTTTCTCTGCACCGTTTCCAGTTGCCAAAAGGGAAGCCAAACTGAGGTTGTTAAGCACAATTTGTCTCTAACCGCGCTTTACACATGTGGCTGTGGGTCAAAACCAATGGTACCATCTTGGGGTAGGTGCACCACCCATTGTAGTCTATTTTAGTGGGGATTGGGATGTTCACTCGGGGTACGGGCTTTTGACCCATGGCCATGTAACAAGGACTTGGCCCAACCCCGGCCTTGATACCCAGGCCGGTGACGCTTCACCTCTACAGCGTGGGGAGCTTACTCCATTGTCAAAATTAGGGGCGCTTTTTGGTATCCCCTTGACTTCCATTTGGTTAAGAAGGATGGCTGAAAAGAATGGACAAGGAATCAACCCCTAGCGTTTTGCTTCGAAAGAAGCGGGTTTTGCTTCCAAACCTCCATTTGATTAAGTTTTTTTTCCCTGTTGGTTTTACAGGGAAACTATCACTACCGGACATATTTTTTTCCAGGGGACTTCTCAGCAAACGGAGGTTGAAAAGGCGGCATGCTGGACAGCGCCAGAGTCAGCTAACGGCGCAATTGACAACACTGCCAGGGTGCAGTTGATTTGGGGAACACGGGCCTGCCCAATCTAGACTCAAAATCCGAAGCTGGAACGGTTTTACCCACATATCCACATTTCACATGTCCATTCGTATTCGGGAAACGAGTAGTGTTGTCCATTCATATATTTAATGGCCTGCGGCCTGGTTCCGCCGCCCCCCCATACACCTTAGAATTTCGGCCCGGGGCGAGATAAAGCACGCGTGCACGGACCCGTTCGCGGACACGAAGACAGACGCAGATACGTAGACAGACACAGACAGACACAAGAGAGACAGACAGACAAAAAGGAAGGGGGGGGAGGGTCTTCGCGGTCACGCACACAGACGCAGATACGTTGACAAACACAGCCAGACAGACGCAGATACGTAGACCGACGCAGACACACACACAAAGAGACACAGACAGGGTCTTCGCGGACACGAAGACAGACGCGAGGGGGGGAGGGGGGAGGGGAGGACGGGAGGGAGGCGGGGGGAGTGGGGGGGGGAGGAAACCAGAGATCCAGAGATCCAGACATCCAGACATCGAGACATCCAGACATCCAGAGATCCAGACATGCAGAGATCCAGACATCCAGAGAGCCAGGACCCACAGAATCAAAGGACACTCAAATTGTGAGTATCTGGGCGCCTGCTCTGTTTTGTTGTGTGTGTGTTTCGAGGTTACCCATTTCAGGTTGGTTTCAAGGGAAACCAAGAAGGACCCCCCACCATTTGGGGGTCCATATCAATACTTCGGATCGGCATCCCTATGTCAACGCATTCGCCAGGGTCTCGGCGACCTCTCTCATGAAAAGACTCCTTTGGTTGTAGCATCGATTTAGTTGATTTCGGTTCGTGTCAAAATTTATTCTTCCCAGACTTGCGGTGGTTCCTTTTAGGTTTCAGTTGACATAGACCCTTTCAAAGGGATGTTGCCACGGACAGGAAAATCTTCGGCTTTTGCCTGTCATCTTTGCCATGGCTGCGCGTAGTCTTTTAGTTTGTTTCTGCCGATGGTTTTCCCCCAGGCGATCGCGGGTATGGAGAGACTTGTGGGTCAAATCATGTAAAGACATGAAGATCCTTTGTTCGCTAGACGCACCGGACATATCGGCTGTCCTTTTGGTCTTCTTTTGAAGCCAGCAAACAAGGTACCGGTACCCTCAAACAGATACACAGCATGTGGTTTTCCTTTCGGGCCTGACCTCCCTCCCGTTTGCTGCTTCTCCAGTTGGGCGATGGCGGCTGGTGGTTCAACAAGGCGAGCCTTGGGGTCCGAACAGGCCTTGCTCAACTCGGGTGTCTCAAAGCCTCGATATATGGCTGTTGTCAAAACCGTTTTGGGATTCCATTGTGGAAATGGTAGGTGAATTCACCACCCATTTTAGGTTGCCTATTTTAGTGGTTGGATTGAATCGGATGTTCACTCGGGGTACTGGCTTTTGACCCATGGCCACATATGGCCTTCGGGTCGGCAGCGTTCTTGGGATTTCCCCAAAGCAAGACATTCCAGGTGGAAAAGTAGTTGGCGTGCATGGTTTCCACTGACCTGCAAAGGGTCCAACCAATTTGGGTTCCGATTGGGAGTCCCTACTGGCATATTTTTAGGTTTTTGGGTCTTTTGGTTCTGTTCATTTTGGCGGGCCCCGCCAAAAAAAGGGACCACCGTCAGTTTTTCGCACGCCCATGTCGTGTGGGCTGCTGCAAAAGCTGCCAGCTTTCGGTGTTTTCCTTAGGCCCATGGGCTCCCCATGCACCCAATGGTCGCCATGGTAGGCAGAGACCATTTTTTTGGTGTGGCCATGGAAGCCCTTTTTGTATTTGCTGTAAAGGAAAGTCACAATGCGGATGTCCATTATTTTTGAGGGTACCCATTTTTTTTGGTTTTAAAGGGACATCAAAAGGAAATTCACCATTTTGGGGGTCCAGCCTTAAAAAAGACAAACCCGTGTAGGCATTTACTCTCGATGTTCGCCTTTTTGCCGGAGCAAAACGACAAGCCCAGGTGGTATCCCCAACAGCCCCGGAACCCTCCT